GAGTTTTCAATTTCTACATTAGTCTGTTAAGAGTTTTCCATTTCTACATTAGTCTGTTAAGAGTTTTCCATTTCTACATTGGTCTGTTAATAGTTTACATTTTTACATTGGCAAAAATTTGCCATTAACAAAAACTTATACACTCCACCAACAGCTGAGCGTATCATGCATAGGCCAGTTCACTGCGTCCACTACAGTTCACTATTATCAAATGTACAGGTGAAAGTAGCACAGGTACCAATGAAAACAAGTAGTCTGATCCCTGCAGTATGATTTGGACAGTGGAACATAAACCGATCTATGATATCACTATGTGTGTACAATGATGTGAGGTTTATGCATTTTTGTCAAATAGTCAGTTACAGTTTTTGCGACGGATATATAAAGATATTGCTTAGAAATGTTACCAAATGCATACAACCACTGTACAAGTTACAACAGCAGATGAGAGATGGAAACATTAATCTGACAAGTATTACCTCAATGTGCGTCATTTTCCATGTTTGAAGGCAGCCATGGCCACCTGTTATCAATTCATCAGTGCACTCATTGTATGCCATGCTAGAAGCAAATAGGAAAGAATGCTTTGCTAGATCATCAAACAGTAAAACACCTTAATCGCACAACTAGCTGGCAGAAACACAGAAAGAGATTGCTGAAACAGGAAAACCAACAAAATGAGCTCTGCTTGCCAATACTAACTGTGACCAACCATGATAAGCAAAGGATGGTTAAATTACTGTGTTAAGCAATAAATTTAAGATGAGATCCAGTCACAATGCACTGCATGACTCTTGGAACAAAAATCTGTTTGTATTAGCTGAGCAAATGCTGTATCTGTGTTTAGCGCATAGCACAGAATAAGCAGTTCAAGATCTCTGCGTTTTTTTCCAAACTCTGGGTCCAACAGGTTATCAAGGAGTGTGAGAAAAATGTATGCACTATGAGATGATATAAGCAACAACACCGTTTAACCACAGCTTTTGCAACATTATATGTAGAATGGTGGATTGGAAAATGCCACAGCAACAGTGAATGAAAGATCCCTCACAAAACTGTTATTTTTTTGCAATTCCCACATCACACACACCAGTGTCTGAATGAATTCATTGAAGTTTTACTCATTATCTGAGTGGATAAATGGGTCTCAATTCCTAAATGCTGTACATCAGTGTTGAAGTCCGGTTAATCGCAAGACATTTCACAAGACCAGTCATACCAGTAGCCAGGTGAAGAAGGATTTAGACTCAACTGCAGCACTGATCCATAATTGTATGTTTTACTAACCATTCAATGTTTAGACTTACCAAAGCACTGTAGACAAACATGTCACTTGGGTCAGCTCAGCGCAATTATGAATCAAGTCACTGAATGTGCGGAGGGTCATATCAGTGCAGAATCCCACAAAGACCTGGTTGGATATTGACAATCACTGGGTGAGCATTTTGTCATTTCACATGCAGCTATGAACTTTCTTTCAGTTACCACTTCAGAGACGAGTTTTATTTCACAGGTGTCAAAGCACGACCATAGAAGATAATTGAACTGTGTACATGTAAACCTTTTGACTACAAAAAATATTGAGAAGGGTTAAATTTGAGGATCAAAGTAAAATGCATCACTGCATTAAACCAAACCTCCAAACGGCAATTCCCTATCGACAAATCAAGAAAAAAAAATAGAAAGCATTTAGAATAGGAAACATTGGCACACTGTGCCTGACAAAGGGCTCAGTTTGCAGTTTTGACACAAGAGCAACCAAGAAACATGCCCTTTCCTCGATTACAAAACACTAAATAAACCAAGAAGCTGAAAAATGAGTGAACAAATACTTACTCTATGATGTGGAATAAAGATCAGTCTCGAGATGGCAGCTTTAATGGGAAACCTAAAATGACAATGTCCATCAGGACCAGATTTGTACTATTTGTATCTGTTTTGAATCAGGAAGTATCAACAGTCAGTGAAAGCAGCAAAGATAGGGGAAAAGGAAGTTCCCTTCATAAAAGTCATGCTGTACCTGTATTTGCTGTACATGTATATTTCCACTCTAACTAGAATCCACCCTCTTAATCCCCAAAAACAAGACAGGCTGATGGGAAAACTTTAAACTTGGCACCAAACACACAAAGACCGTACAACACATAATACACATTAGGTGCCTCTTCAATTGATACAGGTTGCTGCGACTTAATTGCCGAAAATGCCACTATGCTTCAACTTCAAGTGTAATGGAGCAGTACTGTGTACAAAGAGCTACATGTACATGAACTGTAGCAATGCTACATGTATGTCCATACTTTTCACAGTTCTAAATGCTATTTTCCAAAAACACATTTGAGATACATCTCACCAAAAAAAAGCAGACATCTCAAACACACTTGAAGGCAAAAACCTTCAGCGACCTCCCTCACTCACTTTGCACACTTCACCACGTTTTCATCCAGGCTGCTGACGGTCCACACGTAGATCTCATTGCAGGCACCTGTGTCGATGAGAGTGACGTAGATATCACCGGCCGTCGAGTGGTAGAAGGCCAAGCAGCGTACAACATGGGGATGGTGCATAGTGTGAAGCAGCTACAAGTAAAGACCAAATAAAGCAAAGCAACCGTTTGGAAGAAAGTGTATTTTGGCAGCGATGGACATACCTGATGACCTGTTTCTTTCAACTTGCTTTTTCTTTAATTCCTCTCCCCGTCCCCCCCCAAAAAAAATACCCCCACACTGAGTTAAGAGAGGATAGTGTGTAACTATTTCAATCAACCTTCTGGTTAAAGTTTGCGATTCATGTCCGTTTTTGGAAACTAGGTAATTCTTTCTAGAAATATTTCTCTATCCCTCACTTCCCTAACCCCCTCCCCCCAAAAAAACCTGGTCCAGTCTGCGACCATTACTGAAAAGCTGAATCCTATGGTTGGGAGGGAGAGAGGAGGGGGAAATCAGGCACTAATGGGGGCACATTTTTTAATCAAAGTTTGTGGCAGTGAAAAACGGACCTTTCTTGGATTGTATCTGACAGTTGTAGGGTCAAGTTTCCCCAAAGCAGAACCTATTAAGGTGCAAAGAATGCATTTTGAAATGTTACAGGTGTTCTGGTTGATCAGCTATAGTAACCAGGAATAGGTTGAAAGCTATAAAATGTTATGACTAATCCTTTTGTCTAAATGAATGTAAGCTTTTAACCCCTTTCATACAAGGAAAGAATTGTAAGAGTCCATCGTGGCTTTTGAGTGTCATTAACACCAATTAATCTACCCTATACTTTCTTATTTCTTCTCAAAGCAATGAAACCTTTCCTTGCTAAAATTCCCCTAAAATTAGCAAGCACCCCTACTTAAAATAGTTGTTGTTTGTGACCATCAAACGTTGTGATGATCGTTTACAGAAAATCTGTTTCCTCACAATATACCTGAAGTCCATAGGGAATAGTCACGCACACATCTTGTGGGTCAGCAGTCTGTAGTATGGTTTGAAGTTGCTCCTTCACTGTTGCCCACGGCTGAAATTTGGCATCTATTAACACCATCGTACTGTCTCCATTTTACAAAAAAATAACAATAAGATCTCAAACCAACATAATCATCAAGAAGGCATCACGAAATCAAGGATTGATCTTTCACAATGAATGCAAGCTTATTGTCCTCCATCCCATGGTACCAAGTCATCTATACTAAAGCATGGGCATTTCCTGGTATACCTGAGAAGGTGTGTGATTGTACTTATTAGCCTGGTCTTTAATTTTTTCATAAACACACTAAACTTAAAAGGCATACACGAAATAACATCCACTATAAGTTGACTTTACTGGGATTTTTCAAGGACCTGGGATCATGGCAAACCACTATTTTTCACAGGGGGGGGGAACTAGGCACATGGGGCAAAGCACTGGCTACCTAAAAACCAGTGGCATATCCAGTGGAGGGTAGGGGGTGGGGCAGGGAGTCAACCCCCCTACAAATTTTTTTATTCAATATTTTTTTCAAATAAGAATACTTCATGGGTGAGTACATGTAGGAAAGAAAGGAATTGTATATTTATCTATCAAATAAACAGGCTACCGGTACATCCCCACCATTATCATGTTGAATAAGTCTGAATGGGCATTTATTTTTGAATTCTCTGACACCAAAAGCATAAAAAGAACTTATAAACAACTCACATTCTGAGGGGGCCAATTTTGAGGTTTTTCAAGCAAATAAGTTATTTTTTTTCACTTTAATCTTTTTCCCATTTCTACCGCTTTGTTTCCCATTTTTTTCCTTTTAATTTCAAATTCTGAATCCAGGGTTGCATCAACTAACATGACATTTTCGGATTTTTCTTTTTTTATTCAAGAAGACAAGTACTCAAAACAAAATAGTCTTCAAATCAAAACTACAGAACTTTGTACTTCCAAACAGCAAAGTTTGTTTGCTTTCTCAGTTTGAACAGTGGGTAGTTATTGTTCTGGGGTTAAGAATGGCATAAGAAGGAATCTGATCTATTCAACCACATGCATGACATGGTCATGACTTTGAAGACTGGTTGAATACAAAAGACAAGCCTCACAAGCAATATCATTCTTATTCCTACTTGAATAGTTTCTAACAAAAAAATTAAACATACATCGGTGACAACATATTGCGAATGCAGGCCTTTGTAAACACTTCAGCAAGAACTAGCGGTCATGGCTGTAATGAACTTGAGGGACGTAACAAAGAAGAGCAAAATACCTTGCCAACGAAACGGATAATGAATAGGAGTTGTTCAAGGAAACTGTGGCCAAGGTACTTCCAGAACATAAAAAATTTGAGGTTAGCTACGTGTACCCGAATGATGTACCGGTACACTCACATAGGCCCCCTAAGCCTAAACTCACTTTGGCTGTGTCGATTGTTCCAACTTACTCTTCCGTCACAGCTATTTGTACAACAAAATTTCACACATGTCTTCTTGGTGAAGTTAAATGCCTGATGGGAAGGTTTATTCACCATATATCTTCTTTAAAATGGTGAAATTCTTGAGCATTATGCCCACGCTATACAGGCTAAAGTTCTGAAAGTTTCGATCGGCGATGTTCCTTGCTCTATGGATGGACAAAGAATCCGTAACCGGCTACGATCGTTTGTGGGATACATATGAGCGTCCGGATATTCTGCAATTACTAGGACACCTACGAAAAGTAAAATCTTACCTTTTTACCAGACCATGTAGACGACAACATAAAAATTAAAATAGATGAACCACCGCTCCACGATCGACCCGCGTCCATCCACGTCCACGTGTGTCGTGTTTACAAACCGTGCCAGCAACCAAACCGAAACGGTTCCTGACTCGCGCCCTCTTGTGACGTCACTATGAGGCAAGCGAATTTGCCATGTGGCCGTGGGTGCATTCCACCAAATGGTTGTATTTCTGCGCGCGAGCTCATGAATATTTTGTGATCCCATGGGATTTTTACAACAAGACAGGCCATAATCAGGAGGCATCATAGAAATATTTCTATAAATCCCGAATTTGGGACTGATAGTTTCCAGTTCGGGATATTTCTTTCACAAAAGCCCAAATTGCAGGCCTATCTGGATAGAGGCGGGCGGCTACATTCAGAAATGAGCACCGTCTGTTTTGGGGGTATCTGTTACTCGAAAGGCGAATAAAAAAGATTTTCGTGCGGCTAACCCCCACGAAATTGAAACCAAAAATGATCTTCTGGCCATAATCTTGAATTTCCAGTAAAAAAAAACGGAGGCCAACCTCCTCACGAGAGTCAACAGGCGGCGCTATTTCGGTCCGATTTTGCACTGTTTTTTATGGGCGCGTATTTGGTGTAGTGACGTAGTGACGAGTTTGTGACGTAACCATTAACATTTGGAAGAAATCTTCATCCCAAAATAATCCCTTCTATTGCCTATAGAGTACCGAAGTGAATATGTCACAGGCACAATTAGTTGGCGAGAACCAACACGCGCACGTACTTCATTCGTTTGCACTACACTTTCAAAAGGCGTAGGCCCCCTACCCCTACCCAATTCCTGGCTTCACTAATCTCCTGGGAAACCGTTTTCAAAACTAAAACCCTCTAACCGCGGCCTCCACCTGTATTCACTTTTCTTTTTACTCAGTCTGCCACGTGGTGTACTGATTTTTGCTATAATTAAAATATTCGGAAAGAGTTTGATATACGAATGCCGCTTGACACACTGTGCACAAACCCTATGAAACTGGTTTTAAATTTTTTTAAGTATTTTCTAAATACGTAAACGGCTTGGTTTTCCCCTCCTAAATTGAACTCTTCGGGATATGTATTTGCTTTCTGACGGCTTAAACAGGTCACTGTTTAGAAAATAATTACTGGCGTCCGTATATGGAACTCCTCCAAAATATTCATTTCCCTCTGACGGTGTCTTTAATAAATCAATAGGCTGGAGAGAAAAAAAAATGTCTTCTTCGGAAGAGCAAGTGATCGCCGACTACAGGACGGATGTCTCCAACGGTTAGAGAAGTACCAAGCCCTCCGCAACCTGGACATCTTTGTGTTGGACAATTCGACCAGGGAGAGCACCGTGAGGCATGCAGTTACGGGACCACACTCTGGAGAGCAAATGGCAGATCTTCGATGAGGTGAAGAAGTGCGGCTTCAAGCACACCATCGTAGCCTCGATCCTTCTCTCACATGACCCGCGTGGATGAAGTTTTCATACAGCAGTTGACAGACCGAGTCGAGGACCGTCAGGGTCTCTGGGCTTTCTCGGAGATCACTGAAGGTAGAATTTCAAATTTTTCTCGGGGAAAGAGTTCCATATACGGATTCAATCATTCAGTCGCTAAGCCCTTAGTCTCCTGCCTTCATTAGATATGGCTGAACTTTTCCCAACCCATGTCATGTTTTGTTTTTACTTTTAGGTACCAAGAACAAGATTCCAGACACCGAGTCGGTCCCCGTCGGCATACGAAAACTTCGCAAAGTTGGCCTGTGCAACGTCATCTTGGAGTTGGATCTCAGCGACGGGGTCTACGACTTCCAGAAGTTCCCCATGGCGGAGATGTGCACCTTGCTCAAGAAGTGGGTCATCTGTGTCACGAAAATCTACACCCGGAGGCCAAGGTGATGGTCACTGCTTCTGAGACCTGCCGGACACCATGCCCGACCACCCCGAGCGGATGTTCCAGACCGTGGCCTTCCTGGCCAACCTGCCGCCAGAGGTCGGTCCCTTCGGAATGATGTTCGAGGAGCCGAGAGGGAAGTCGCTGCCGGACCTAGAAGAGTACAGTGCCTGTGCCACGTACATCCGCAAGACCATGGACAAGCACAACTGGAAGGGACACCTGCTAGTCCATGTACATGAGAAGTTTGGCTCCTGGACACCACGGTTCTACAGGTTGGTACAAAGTTAACCTATATTAGTCATAATCATAGGCCTATTAATATCTAAAGATGTCCTAAGTATTGTTGGCTTTAATGTTGGCGTCTTATTTGATTTCGCTGTATGTAATTCTTACGATTTGGGCTTCATATGTTTGTGCTTTAGTTCATGTATTCTTTAATTCCCACTGGGCCCGCAAAAAGTACCTGTACCATTTAACCCTTTGAATTAACCAGAGACCAGATGAAGCCACACAAGTAACCATGTACCATCACCAAAAAGGTCATTTTTTTTCTTCATTTGAGTCTTTGTCAAAGTCGCAATCATTTCTTTTTTTCTTTTTTGCAGGCTCTGATGGACGGTGCTGACGGTATCTGGGCGAGTGTTTGCGCCGGGGGGCTTCCATGGGCAATGCCTCGTCCTGCGTCCTTGTTGAACCTCATCTGGCTTGGCTACAAGAAGGTTCTAGAGAAATACAACTGCACCTACCTGAGGAAGGCCGCTATTAACGTGACCTTGATCACCGCGGGCCAGCTCCCCCACAACAAGCAGCCGGTCTTCGGTCCCCGAGCCACTGACTTCGTCTTCGATCTAGCTCAAGCCCGAGGAATTCGATCTGGCCAGCTTTTTCGGTGAGAAGGCTCCTGTGTGAATCACCATCATGGCCAGCAAGGAGATGATCCAGACTGCGCCTGGTCAACTTTTTCGGGAAAGATCCATAGTTCACCGAAGATTTGGAACACAAAACGAAGGAAGGAAGGAGGAATACATGAGTATGGTGGGGCTGGCAATGCTGCTTGACCGCGCAGGGGAAAGATCACTGAATACATGCGAGACTGCATCGAGAACATCGAGCTTCACAGCCCGAATGCCAACAACCTCATCAAGGAGGTGCGCCAGAAATGGGACGAGTGGGATCTGAAGGACGAGGTCCAGCGGGATGAGAAGCTGCAGTATGACACCTTCTACAACGGCTTCATGGCACCGTACTTCTCCTGCAACCGGTGCTCCGACACACGGCGCGCTCTGAAGGCCATCGACATGGATAAGGACAGCGAGGTAGATTGGAGCGAGTTCCTGGTCTACCTCAAGTGGGCCATGCACGAGTATCCCCAGGTCGCTACTGTCCAGGAGCTGCTCGACATCACCTTCCGCAAGGGGCTGATTCCAGCCATGCGACATGGATATATCATCCGCTCGAAGTAAAAGATCTTTGCTGCAAAATTGATAAGCAACGTAGCCAGCAAAAATGATCAACAATCCCTGCTCTTAATGGAAGTTCGAAAATTCGAAGGCTATGCAAAAATTCACTTAAATATTTATTCTTTGTACTCCGAGCCTTATTTCGTGAATAACATTTTCTTACAAGAAAAAATAACAATGTAACAGTATACCTGTTTTGTGGATTCTAGAAATTTACTTCTTGTTTTGAGTACAAATGTTTTATACAACGTCCTCGACTAAAACGGATGAGAACTTGCAAAAATATGGAAAGGCTATATGCCTGTTGTACAACAGCAAAATGAAGGAGGCGTCTGATGGGGAAAAACAAGACACGTTTAGTTTTCTAAAAATGTGGATTTGGCATGGTGAAGAAAGTATAAAGCTGAAATCTCGTATGGAAGTAAGGTTCTGAGAAGAACTAGTACGATTTCTCATTGTTTTGGACAGTCTACCCTCCCTGACCGCCAACAGTCGACTCCGATAGACAAAGTATAACCGTCAGAAAAAGGGATTCTACTATTTCAAAACAAAGTCATCCGCTTGGAATAATCATTTGACTTAATAATTAAACAAACACCATTGATCGCACATCCATACTATATGCTACTTCATTCGCCTCATTTTTTGCAAATGAGAGCCCAAGCAGCGATTAGTCTGATCTGTCGAGGGATAAGAATGTCCACATCTGATCACCCCCCCCCCAAAAAATACACAAGATGACAACATCTTGAAAGTTCAGTATAAGCATCTCAGATAGGGGATTAATACCCTGTAAATCCGTGATAACTCATCTACGGATACCAC